ATTAACGACACATTATCTTTTAGACGGCATATTGCAAATCTAGTAGTCAGGATCCGTAAATTAAAGTATATTTTAAAAAAATTACGTACCATTGCAGGTCCAAAACTAATTAAACAGGTATATCAGGCCTTATGCCAATCAGTAATTCAATATTGTATAACTTCATGGGGTGGAGCTCTCAAAACAATTTTAATCCCTCTCGAGCGAGCTCAGAGAGCCATTTTAAAAGTAGCCAATTCACTTCCCTTCTTATATCGTACGCATCAACTTTACAAATACTGTAATGTGTTAACTGTTCGCCAGCTTTTCATTATGCACACCATATTAAAACAACACACCATTTCACCTTTTTGCTCTGATATCGCTAACAAAAGACGGAAAGATATAGTCTGCATCTCTACACATGATTCAAAATACATCTTTTCACATAGATTCTCTACTTTCCTTAAGTCCTTTCTTATATAATAAGTTAAATAGAGTGTTAGGTATTTATACATTAAACTATTTTAACTGTAGAACTGTAGTATTTAATTATTTGCACAGCCTGACATACGAGCAGACCGAAGAATTACTTCTTATTTGTAAATAAATGAACGTAACTCCATAATTTACATTTACCAACATTTATACAATGATTACTTTAAGTTCTGTTTTAATTAATTTGTTAATTTATTAATCATTCAATGTATTATTTAGATCATAAAAGCCTGAAATACAGGTACAATTTTAACTGTAACCCCTAGTTCAGGCATCCATTATTTTGTACTTTATATTGTTATTAGTATTATTATGCAATGTATGACCTTATTTGAATAAAGATATATTTATTATTATTATATATTAAATATCCCCACTGCTGGGGCACAGGCCTTCCCTATGAATGGAATAGGGAGATTGGGCCATGACCCACCACGCGGGCCCAGTGCGGATTGGTGAGTGCTAACGACTGCAGATGCAGCCGGGACCAACGGCTTAACGTGCCTTCCGAAGCACGGAGGAGCTCGATATAGTAAATTTATGGTCACCCATCCAATGACCGACCACTGTGAAAGTTGCTTAACTTCAACGACCGCAGCCGAACGCGCTAACCACTTGCGCCACCGAGCTCCTCACCAACAGAAACACGACACCAAAAGGTAGGAAGTGTAAGAAAAAGGTTACTTTTCCAGACGGGCGCTCCAATTCCACCGAGAAATCCGCTATGCCCTATCTCTTTTAAAATAAATATAATATCGTTAATGATAGTTTTTATATATTAAGTATTTACTTTTACCAGCGTCTATTTTACCTTTAAAAGACGTAGGGCATAGCGGATTCCCCGCTTGAATTAGAGCGCGCGTTATACTTGATTCAGAAATCAGAAATCAATATATCTTTATTCAAATTGGATGTAAAGTACAACTCTTTTGAATCGTCCAAAAAAATTTTTTCCCTACCACTCGTTATGGACATATTTTTTAGCTGCGGAGAAAACGAGCGAAAAAAACTCCACAACATTAAAAGTGTAATGTAACAACATTTACAAATCATTATGTTGTTACAACGTCAATACAATTATGATTTATTTAATATAGAAAACCTGTTGGAATGATTGGAACAGTTCAAACCCAAGCATTTTTGTCTGTAATATAATCAGACACTTTGTAATAAGCTTTTTTAATAAGTGTTTTTTTATAATATCTTTAAATTTATTTATGGCTAACTCTTGGATATTGCTTGGGACTATTGTATAAGCGAACACAAAGACCTTTAAATGAATTATTAATTTTGTGAAGCCTAGTAGCAGGTAAAGCTAGTTTATTTTTGTTTCTTGTATTAATTGTGTGAACATCACTGTTTTTAAGAAACAAATTAATATTTTTTCTTACAAGTAATAAATTTTCGTATATGTATTGTGATGCGACCGTCATTATTCCAAATTCTTTAAACTTATCTCTTAATGATTCTTTAACTTTAAGATTATAAATTGATCGAATAGCTCTCTTCTGCAGCACAAAAATAGTTTGAATGTCGGCGGCATTTCCCCACAATAAAATTCCGTACGACATTACACTATGGAAATAACTAAAGTACACTAATCTGGCCGTATCTACATCCGTTAACTGGCGTATCTTCATTACGGCATATGCTGCAGAGCTAAGTCTATTTGACAATTTATCAATATGTGGGCCCCATTGAAGCTTAGAATCTAAAGTTATCCCTAAGAATACTGTGGTGTCTACAAGGCCCACATTCCTATCCTTTACATTCACACTGGTTTTTACCTGTTTTACATTAGGTAATACAAATTTCATACATATCGTTTTTCCTTCATTAAGTAATAAATTGTTCACGACGTCAATAACTTTTTCCTTGCGTTTGAGTTTAAATAAAAGTGATGTATTATCCGCAAACAATACTATCTCATGGTTATCTCTTACATAGTAAGGTAAGTCATTAATATAAATTAAAAATAAGAAAGGACCTAGTATTGAGCCCTGCGGAACACCCATCTTAACCGGCGAACCCGGAGACTTATTATCATTAATGTCAACCCTCTGAATCCTATCCCTCAGGTATGATGCAATAAGATCCAGATCAGTATCTCTAAATCCATAGTGGTGGAGTTTCCTGAGTAATGTTTCATGAAAAACGCAATCAAAAGCCTTGGACAAGTCGCAAAACACACCTAGAGCGTCCTGCGAGTTCTCCCAGGCGTCAAAAATTTGTTGTATAAGTTCAACACCGGCATCGGTTGTTGAACGACCCCGTGTAAAACCAAATTGTTTACAGTGAAGTATATTATATTTATTAAAATGTGATTGCATTTGATCTAACATGATTTTTTCAAAATTTTTACTAAAGGTGGGTAGTACAGAAATTGGTCTAAAGTTTGTGGGGTCTGATGTACTTCCTGTTTTATGCAAAGGAGTAATTTTACTGTATTTCATGAGGTCAGGAAAAACACCACAGTCAACACAATCATTAAATATGCAAGCTAGAATAGGAGCTATTGAGTATTGCATAATCACAAACCCCTTTCTAAGCAATGGGCAAAATTTAATTTGTGAGACCCTTAGGTCGCGCTGAATCGATTCCGTACTCAGAGACGCCATTTAACTTTTAATTTAAATTAAAGTTGATGCTGTCACTTTCTTTGTAGAAACAAAATTTCTTGGTAAGACAAAATAAGACAACACGCGGCTTAATGAAGCATTACCTTTAATTGAAGTCTTTGAGTGCAGCCGTTAATGACATATAAAATATCACTGAGTAATTCAGGAGTTATGATTCTTATAAATAAATAAGTCGTTAAATAATCTACAGAACTCTTACTTCGCGAATAGCACGAACGATTACAACTGTTTCCGGATTTAATTATGTAGGTAATTGAAAAGAGGACATTCATTAAATCATTTACGAATTCCAAACAAAATGATATATCATGAGCATACATTCATCACAACACAACCGAGCTATTGCTGTTCATTCATAAAAAGTCGAGAGCCCGCCCACTAACGAATCGTACAAAACGAGTGCATGGCAAAATCGCCTTAGAGCTGTTCAGGCGCCCGTGACCGTGTTTGTACCTTTTCGACAGGTTTCGGGCACAATTTTGTTCGTGTTGGTGTATCTAGGTTATGTAATATCGTTGACTTTGGGTGGTCACGAGTTCGTCTCCCGGTGCGCTCCTCACGTAAATTGCAATTTTTTGTTCCTTCGCCATTACGCAAAAACTATACACGTAATTCTTATATGTGTCGTTCCACCAACGTTTATAACAAAGAGTTCTCCGATTTGGATCTTTGTAATATATCTATCAATAGTTTATAAAGAAAACTAAATTATATATTGATGGAAAAACCAAAAAAGTAGTGTTTATGAAAATTTCTATTTGTGTTATAAGTTGTTAACAATTTGTTAACATTTAATGTCAATAAATTGTTAGCATTAGATGAATACACGTGCAAATCTGACTATGTTGAGACTCTATTTGCTGCTATAAATGTAATAAACTTTGGGCACTGTTTGGTCTATTAATATTAACATATATGCACGTACCTCAATATTATGTAAATGACTGTTTGTTTGCCAAAATAAATGAAAAAAAAAAGTCGAGAGCCCGCCCACTAACGAATCGTACAAAACGAGTGCATGGCAAAATCGCCTTAGAGCTGTTCAGGCGCCCGTGACCGTGTTTGTACCTTTGCGACAGGTTTCGGGCACAATTTTGTTCGTGTTGGTGTATCTAGGTTATGTAATATCGTTGACTTTGGGTGGTCATTGTGGGTGCTAAGGGAGGGGTTCCACTTACTGCGTGCGACGACAGCGAGTGCGGCGAGCAGAGCGGCCGACGTGAATACTGTCATGTTGCGGTCAGACGCCTGAATGACGGTTCGCAACTGATGCGAGGCACGGCCAACACCGCTTATATATTCGCGAATGCGTGCGCGGTGCCACTGCAAGCGGTGATCGATATCTTTTGCATATACAGACCTTATTAATTATCGCCCCTTTGACATTTACTCCAAGAGTTAACAACTGCGACATACAAAAGCATGATGAATAATCAGTTTGAATTTTTTGAGAAAAAGTTTATGATAAGGTAACGTTAAGCAATAAACAGTAATGATAAAACATAATGAAATGTATGAAATGTATCTGTTAAATGAATTAATAAAACACTATAACTTCAATATAATTTTGGGTATCATTTGTATTTGCATATTTTGATAAATTGCCCAAAATAGCTTTTCTAATCAATAAATCGATCACATAAGTATTTTTATTGTTATATTATTCATTATATAAATCATATTATATTATGCTCTGTGAACAATCTGCTATTTGAATTTTTACATAGCTCCATGTTATATCCTATGCCTGAAAATTTGGTTCGTTCTTAAATTGTTTTTCGGAACCAATAGTGATATTATAGCTATTAACGGGATTGTTACCATGTACCTTGTTTTTTTATGATTCTCCGATATTTCGGCACTGTTGCAACCGCCAACGTAACTGAAGTAATTGCGGGTAGATGTTATTGGCAGTACCATATACTTATACAAATATTTTTTCTGTACATTTATTGTTCATTTATTTTTTAAAACGGAACATTTTGCTTTTGAAACAGACATGAAGTCGATTTCTATTCCTTTAAATATTTGATTATTTCATAAAAGTTTTATGAGAATAATAAACACGTTATAATTAATAAACAAATATTGTAAAGTTACGGGCTAGTGCAAAATATTTATACACGTTGTAACATATTCTTAAGTTGATAATGTTATGCACCGACTATCAAAATCGGAACAAAAGACTTTATTATTTCAGGTGTAGTTTATGCTGAGAAATGATTGAAACAACTTTATTTTACCATATACTGGGTCTATTCGTAGAGTGGTGGCGTTGATATTTAATTTCCAACGTTATTAAATTAAATACATACTCTTTTTACCTTATTGTACGACGTTGACAAACTAAGTTTACATTCCTTGATGAAATACGTTGAACTGGGTAGCTGAGAAGACAGTTACGATGGTGACAGCTTCTTATATTCTTGTTATTCGAAGATTAGGAGTCCACACTGTTCATCAAGCCATGTTAAGTTTGTTCACCACAGCGTGGTCTCATGACGTCGCCATTTTGTTGTAAGAAATAAAGCCAACTAATTCTTGGTTAATTCAAGTAGAATGATTCATCACATTTAAGTATGAAGACCAACAGTTAACCAATACGCCTACGAACCCATAAAACAATAAATAAATGCAGTAGATATGCACTTTTCTCTAAAGATTCCTAACTATCCAGAAATTAAAATTGTACTTACAGATATGGGATTTTCTATTAAATTATCCTTAAACAACTACGACATCGTCTTCCTTTGGTGTTTACTTAGCCACCTTTCATCTCCTATTCTCTTCTTTAATTATTTTCAAGCGAGCTCAAAATACGATGTTCCTCCTCGTAGCCTATCCCAGAAAAAGGACTCCCCCCTTCTCGCACAATCTCTCATCGATCAAGACGCTCCGATGACGAGACAAGACGTTAGATGTAAAATGCAATGACAAAAAAAAACAAAAAAAAAACCGTAAAGAATACGCACGGTGCCATGTATGGGTGCGTGCGGTGAAAATCTTTAGCGCAAGCTCTGTTGGATGACTCGTCATTTGATCTTTGGAACAATGTATACAACCTCCGTAAAAGCATTTTTTTGAGCAAGTGTATTGAAAAATTCATTACGATAAGATCAAGAGATGGATTTGCTAATGCATCACGACTGTTATAAAATCTTTCACAAAACACTGTAGGTGCATTGGTTTCAATGTCTAATGAAACGCCGAGTATTGAATTCATGGTTCGCAGTCGCACTCCGAGAAGTTCATTAACTTTAAACTCTAAAGTCAATGTTGTCACTTTCTTTGCTTTGCTATAACATTTTCGATTTATAAATCCCTAAAGTTGCGTCGTGCGGGGAGGGTAAGCCGCATTTTGATTAAATACGTCAGTATTATGTCATGGTCGGATAAAACATTTGTTGCAAATTTGTATCGAGACGTTTACGATGTAGTATACTACACAAGCTTGGTAAAAGCTGGTGCCTTTGTATGCGATCTCTAGAGAGAATGCATCTCTGCTTTGCGATAGCAATAGAATGAGACAACTCGTACCTCGAAGAAGCTTTATTAAATCTGATCTTGTGTTAGTGTTGGCGTGCGATCTTGTATAGATGATCGAAGAAGGCTTGCAGGCGTTGTTCGTAGGGCGAGGCTCGCGTGGGGTACAGGCGTCTCGGGCCGTTTGCCTCCAGGTACAGCGGCGGCCGGCGTGCTGCCGTCTGCCATCGGCCTGCTACCAGCGGGCCCGGCATCGGGTGACTGGAGGAATTAAACGTCATGCTTAGCTGTATTCTATTGAGGTTTTCTCATACTCTTTATGTTAGAGCGGCCATACATAGATTTCTCGAGCAATTAACCAGTGATCAACTTATATAGACCGCTCCCGCGGTCGGATTCAACAGCTTCGAGCAGTTTATACCAACTGTGTACGCAGCAAAATGTAGTTCACTATGCAGTCACATCAAAACTGCATTAAGCTAAGATAGTGTATGACAGCTCATAGTAAATCACAGTGTAGAGAGAGACGTAGCGGCGGGAAGCTTGCCGGCCTAGCAGCCAACCTGAATTATCATTAACTTGTCTTTGAATTCATTTGATCGACTAAACTGACAAAATTGTAAGAAAAATGATAATTATTAATTTTGTATAAACTGTAAGGTTGTGGAATTAGTTCGTTTTATTCGTTCTTAACAATACCAAAAATAGATCGTCAAAGCGGAAAAGCATATTTATTATCAATTAAGTATAAATTAGAGTATCTACATACCTGTATCTCATGAAGTTGACGATGATGTCTGTCATCTTGTTCTTCATTTTGGCGTCGTCGTCGCGCCTCGTCAACTCGTTGGTCCTGAGCGGGCCCAGCACGGAATTTGTGCGGAATATGTACGTGAGGTCTTCAACATGACCCGCGCCTTCGAACTTCAACCCTAGCCCCTCCTTCCACGCACTGTCCACTCCTTCATAGGAGAACCTGTACATGAACACTGGCGCTTTCCCCGAAGACTTACTGGCCAACTTCAACGCTGGGTACTTAACATACTGATCCGTGCACAGTCGCAAGAAGCTATCATAGTCTAGCGTGTCATTGAAATATTTATTATGCATGAGTTCGGCTACTACGGGAAGCTGGTCGCCGCTCATGAATTTGAGTCGAGGTGATACAGCGAGTTCGGGCGTTTTTTCTATCTGCGCCACTATGTCGATCTGCTTGAATCTCGGCCGGAACGATTCGCATTCCGCGTCTGTGAACCCTATCAGCAGAGGAATTTCACTCCCTCGTCCGCTGTCAAGTAGAACCTCGGGGTCGTCTTCTAATATCGGAGTAATCCCAGGTTGATAAGACTCCACGACAGGCGTGAATGTTGTCGTTCCGAACAAATTTATGAGCTTTTTGTTCGCTTCCATGATCGCGTTGATAGGGGTCTCGATGAGTTTCTGATGGATCTCGTCGGCGGGAAGAGTGGCGTTGATTCCTATTAGGGGCAAAAAGAGGCTGTTTATTGTCTTGGCGAACAGCGGTGAGGAGCTGAAGAAGTCGGAGAAAGCTGTGCCGCTTAGTAGTATTGCCCTGGAAATTATGAAAATATACATTACATTGATTTTTGTTAGACATATTAAATATTTATATAAAATAGGGATATCGATATAAAAACAACATTATTCAAAACGAAAATGGAACTGAATATTGTGCATTACACCTGCTATCCACAAGGTATATATAATCTCATGGCTGCATTTCCTCGATTGTTGCAGAATAGTATTAGGAAGACAACTCCCTAATTAATGCTCCAATAAGAGTCAAACTTAATACAGAATTCAAATTCAAGCATATTCGCATACCTTTTTGTCAATAAGTTTCCAGGGTTTCATCAGGACAGGGGGGGGGGGGGGACAAGGTGGCAGCTTATAAACAGGCGGGCAGTCTACTTTTTGCCACTTGTGGCTTACCTGTGGAATAGCGAGCGCGCGCTGGTAGAGAGTGTCAGGATGTGCGTTATGGCCGCGCCGGCGCTCTGTCCCGCCAGCGTGACGGAGCCGGGCGAGCCCCCGAAGAAGCGCGCGTTACGCTGCACCCACCGCAGAAGCGTCACGGCGTCGCGCAGGCCCGCGTTACCTGGCACCTGCGTGCTGTTCAGGGACAGGAAGCCGAACACATTCAACCTGGAAACCAACAATACAACATACAAAAGACTTCTGACAAAAAGTGCTGTCCTGTAATGGTGGAGGGGATCTGGTGACACGCACTAGTAACAAACATTTACAGCCTGTGCTGCGCTTGCCATCAGGCTGATCATATTATGCATATGGAGCACCCTTTTCAAGTAAGATTAGTGAAAAATATGGTGTCAGTATAAGCAGTAGTTTCCTGCAACTGGGCGATGGGTGGCGTAACTATATCAACGAGAATTTAAACCTGACTGTGGCAAATGTGTTATCTTGTGATTCTTGTGTGATATTGAAGACCTCGCGAATGACAAATGCGAAACTATACATCAACAGTCTATCCCTATAGCAATCGTCTATGTGTTTTTCTACGAATATACTGTCTGCTTCACTTATCTGGAGCAGTTACGATTTGCAGTTTATAGATTATGCTGAAGAAAAATTACCTATAGTTAAAGGTGATAACAATAACGCCTTTGCTGACGAGGTACTCGGGGCCATGAAGGTCCGTATCGCCAGAGCCGAATGCGAAGCCTCCGCCATGAATGAACACGAGGATCGGTAGACCCGGGGCTGCTTTTGCACCACAGCTGGGGGGCTTTTTGGGGTCGGGCAACGCTTCGATAGGCACGTGGATGTTGGCGTGGATGCACGCCTCGCTCATGCCGCCGCTGGCCGTCTTTATCCGCCCGTAGAACACGTCCGTTTGAGGACACACGGGACCTTCGGCCTTTGCTTCCCTGATGTTGTCCCACGGCTCTGCTGGGAGGAGCTCCTGAAAATTTTAAATCATTCGTGGATATCTCAATTTCTCTATTTTACTTTTTGAGATGCTTCTAATTTTCCTTCATGGTTGTGTATTAGATTTAGAGCATAAAGTTTTGAGAACCGTTGCAGACTGTATTGTGGCCTATCTGCAGTTGGACAACAATGTTGACCCAGCTGATGCCAATTGTGGAATCATCTTCCGTGTATCCGGTTGCAGGATAGTTTTGTGTTTATTACTTGCGCGAAAATGTTCAGACATGACATCTGTTGCTTGGGACAGCTTGTTTCATTTTATGCAATAAGCGGGATTAAGGAATCATAAATTTTGCCAGACAAGAAATAGAAGTTTTACAATTCTAGTTATTTTTACTAGCATTGAATGGTGATAAAAATTATAATGATAATGTGGTATGTACAAGTATAGGAAGCGCCAAACTTCTTAAGAAAAAACACAGTTAACTAAATTTGCGCAGCAGAGGTTTTTGTATGTAAAATTGCTACTGCGCAGGTTGCCTTGTCTATGTTGATTGCTCAAGAAGTTTGCCGGGATGTATACCTGAAACCTGAGCTCTCCCAGGGGTTGTTTAGCGTAGGGAACGCCGAGGAAGCTCGCGTATACTGATCCGGAGACGGCGCGCCGCCGGGCGCCGCACACCCATCCCGTTTCCGTACGCGCCGCGGCCTTGCACCTCGACAGGTCCGGCACGCTTACAGTATACGCTGGAAAATTTATAATATACATCTTTAGTATACCGTGGTTAGGTAAATAAATAAACTAATTCTGCCGCGGCTGCGGCTGTTTCGTAATCATAATTTTATTCTGTGTTAGGTATCTCAAATTAGCATTAATGAAATAACTATACAGTATCGGACATATCAGCTCGTTAAGTGTGGCATCTCGTCAATCTCGCGCGATTGGTTACTCAAATCTTTTATTTTCGTTACAAAATAGCAAGGAATGACACATTGCCACCAAGAAACTGTTAGGAGCTTCAATAGTATACGTGGTACACTCAGAATGTTTTGAGAAACTAAAAATTGAACTTCTATGAAAAAAATATTTTTATTAAATCTTTTCATAGAACTCTCCACCAGCCTCTATACAAAGTTTCATGCGTCTGAACCAAATTTCAAATCATTTTTTCCAGTCCTCCGCAGACAACTCTTCCACGGACTTCTCAAACGCTGCTAGCGCTTCTTCCGGCGATGAAAACGATATCCCGTTTAGCTGATTTTTTATTTTAGGGAATATAAAGAAGTCACACCGATCAGTTCAGAATTGATGATCCTGCCTGGCAGTAACAGCTCATAATGAATAATGCCCTTCCAATCTCACCACACTCACAGCATTACCTTGTTGCAAGTTAACCCGGGTTTCACCAGAGTCCGTGAAGCCTGACCGGCCTTTGACGACGAGCTTTTTCCTACGTTCTAGTCGTACGTTATCCACTTGTCATTACCAGTCATCAGCTTCTTCAAAAATGGATCGGTTTCATTACGTCGTAATAAAGAATTAAAAATCAGTAGCCGGTTCATTATGTTTCTTTCAGTGAGTTCGCGAGGCACCTAAATATGGAGCTTTTTTGCGTACTCGGCTTTTGTTAAATGCACCAGAACTGTTTTGTGGTTAATTCCCAGTTTTTCAGCTACGTCGTAACTACTAATCATGTATAGATACTGCTAAATCTCGAACGTTAGAGTTCTCATACGTTTGGCATCACAGCACAGCGCGGCCGCGACATCACAGATTGCGGGACAACATCTTTATGTGATAAAAGTGATTTATTATGTCACAAAACTAATCTTTTTCTCAACTATGAAATGGACGGAAACTCTTATTTGGTTGGCTATTGGTTGCAGACTTCTACAGCGTCATTGAGCTCACCGGGCTTGGGGCCGCGAGATCCTTAGTCGGGATGAAGAGGGTGGCTCTAGTCTAGTGGTTTTCTCGGTGGAGTGACGCCGTAGAGTCAGTAGGCTCGCTCGCCTAAGGGCAATATGGATCGCTCGAACTGGCAAGTTACCGTTTCTTTACTACACGCGCTATTTTAACGTAACTTGCGTTAGCTTTACTTAGCCCCGTTTCGTCGTATGGAAATTTACATATAAGATTTTAGTCGTAGTAAGTTTTATGGAGGAAAAGTACTAAAAATATTTAGTAAACATGACAAATCCTACCAAAGGAACTATCTAAAAAGGTCTAGTCAAAAAAATAAATTAATGTGATTAAACATGCTTTTAGGATATTAATGACATTCATTAAGAATACTCAGTGTATTTGACCGGTCAAATAGGGGACTTATGTTTCTACACAAAACAAAAAAAAAACAACGAGACATTTCTTGTGATATAACAAGTATTGTTCAATATTGGTCCATTAAAAGTGATTATTTCTTTATCACCTGGAGTTTGTTGAACCCGTTGAACACAGATGTGTTCTTTCTGTACTTGAATCCATCTCAGTGTCAACGCGCGTGTGTACAGTTCATTACAATTGTTTACTAATAATTTAATGTAAATGTGGCGGAGCTCGGTGGCGCAGGTAAATAGCGAGTTCGGCCTACGATCGTGCAAGTTAAGCAACTTTCGCAATCGTCGGTCATTGGATGGGTGACCAAGACTTATTATCTCGAACTCCTTCGTGACCGCATTGGGTTATGAATTGAGGATCGATTAATATTTAATTTCAATAAAGTAGTTCTCCTTTTTACGCAAGGTGTCCTAAATTTCCACCTGAGGCCGCCTTTGATACAGCCAGAGGTAGAAACGTGACCCGGGGGATAGAGCAAGAAAGATTTAAGAAAAAGAAGGGAAAGAAGGCTTATCGAGTTTAGAAAAAGTATAAGAAACGGAAAGTTTTAATTTTTTTATATTGCATGGGATGGTGATAAGCAGGCGGGCCCCGGTCCGACCAGTTAATGAGAGGAGGATGATCCACTCATCAATCGGCCGAGCCGGGGCCCGCCCCATAATCATGGTTAGATTAGGTTAGGTTTCACTCTCGTTACACACCACGAGGTGGGTCACGGCCCAATCTCACTATTACCACCCGTAGTAAAGGCTTGTGCCCCCGCAGTGGAGACATTAATAGGTTGGTGATGATGTGATTTTTAGAGTTTCGTACCTCAAAAGGAAAAAACGGAACCCTTATACGATCACTTTTGTGTCAGGAACGCGTGGAGGTATCAAACTGCAATTCGTATCTAATACTCAAGTCTACTGTCCCTTGGAGCTGCGAAAAAATCAAACTTCTAAGCCAAAGCAATCAAAAGATACAGCCGTTTATGCCGCAAATTTACGAAACTCCCACGGGAATCAAAACCTACAGGATACTTCCCGGGAACTTAGGATCGTGCAATTTGGTACGAAGTAACGTCTTATAGTACAGATAAAGGAAAAATTGCGTAAACCGTAAATTCTGAGGAAAATCATATTATAAAAAACTAGCAAACCAGTGAACCAAATGTTCACCAAAAAAAAAAGTATTTAATTAATTCAGAACTTCGGAGATTTTGTGGTTTCGTTTGAAATAGAAATCACCAGAAGTGCTACGTTACTCACATCCGGTTTGTAGTCTTATCAGACTATTCTTAACTTATAACTTAAACATTCTCTATATCTATCTCTTACGGTTTGGCCGCTGAAACAGCACCACGGACGGACGGACGGACTTGTCTAATAGATAAGAGATATTTTTGAAAATTCAGGTTTGTACGGAACCCTCGGTGCGCGAGTCCAACTCGCACTTGGTCGGGTTTTTTGTACATCAATGAAAATGTCGTTCACAAATGGTCGTACTTATAATATGTCGTAATACCTTCAAAAATATTGGATTTTCGTAAAAAAGGATAAAAAAACGAAATTTCAGTTCTTTTTTTAACAAACATTTTGGTTTTTATTTTATTTTTATAGGATGAAAAATAACCGAGATAGAGACGTTGAAAGCCTAACTTTTACTGCGAGAACCATGGAACTGGGACCTTTTAATTATTTAATCCTTTACCTTTTAAAAACTGAGCATTCTAAACCGGGCAAAATTTTTGAGGTCATCACTTATGCTAAAAAGAAGAAAAGTTCTTTAGGGATAACCATATTGTTGAATTTTTGTGGAAATGGTGGAGGTATTATTTTTCGTTTTTTCCAAAACAAATCGAAAGTGGCATCTTATTTTTATCATAACTTGCTCAATTTTGATGCTATGAACTTTTTATAGTGCTCATTAGAAAGGTATTTCCGAGGACTTTAAAAAAGGTTCAGGAAGTATTTGTCATAAAATGCATCGGTTTCCCGTTATTTAAGTTTGAATACTTATATTTAGGTACTCGCCGAAAAAAATATACATAGAATTAATTACCTATAGCTTACTTTGACTTAATATTAGAAGGTTTTTCAAAGTAGGGGTTTGTTTGTTTTTTATTAGCTTCAATTTTGATAATAATACATTTTTTGTAAAAACTCATAGGTTTTGAGTTTAAAACGTGTATTTTTATCACGAAAAATCACAATGTTTGATCTTGAATAACTCAGAAAGTATTGATTTAATGTACAAACCTTATATAACAAATTTTGCTTAGAATTTGTTTCTCTATCAGTTTGAGGAGTTATTTTTATTAAAATAATTTTCAACCCCGAGAAGGGGTGGCATCTACCCCCAGGGCAAAAGTGCAAGATGGCGCTATGTCACTTTTGTTTCTTAATGTATTCCTCACCTACTCGCCAATTTTCATGAAAATCGATGGAGGTTCAACGAAATCGGAGGTGAAAACCTTCATTGACTGGACTGTGTATGATAATTAATCCTTTGATTTTTGCAAATGAACAAAAAAAACTTCACAGACTTCCTGTCAGGCCGATGATAACAAATTATTTGTATTTATTTTTGCATTAAAAACACTTTTTGTGAAGTGTTAATCAGAGAAATGGGAGGAATGATCCTAAAAAAATGCGCAATCGATGGCTCTGTTAATAAATTGGCAACATCTTTTATCAAATGTAGCAAGGCTATGACATAGTAGGAGTTCACATAATTTTCGAGATTGTGACTTTATCAAAAGTTCCTGTGTCTTTTTTCATGGATATTATAAACATTCAGCCATTCAGCATTAAATATTACTAAGTACAATATTTATACATTGCTAGGGCAGTCGCTCATACAAAATTTTACCATGTCCTTTACAAAACTAAGGGCTAACCAGGCCCTGCCTCAGCATATAGTAGTATCTATCTCCTGTCTGAAACCTGCTGAGGGGCTATCGCTTACGTGATTGCTATTGCTATCGCTTACGATTTTATTTTGTATTTCTGACCGCCGAAGGTCATAAAATACCTCACGCTGATTTTCTTTAACATTGCTATGATCAAAGAAAAAGAAAAATAAAGAGTGCGAGGCATTTGAAAACTTCGGCGCGGCGGTCAGAAGATCAGCGAAAGTGAAGAAGTTTTATACTGAAGCGGCCCGGTAAATAAAGCCGTATTTTAAACATACAATACATTAAATGCGATACAAATAAATAATACAATGATTTATAAACTTGGTTTATTTGTCATATCATCACACAAACTATTAACATGTCAATAACTTTGTTGCAATCATCATCATTATCATCAACAGCCTATCCTAGTCCACTGCTGTACATAGGCCTCTCCAAATGCACGCCACTCAGATCGATCTTGGGCTACTCGTATCCAGCTCCTGCCAGCCACCTTGAGCAAATCGTCATTCCATCGTGCCTGAGGACGTTCTACACTACGTTTGCCTAGACGCGGTCTCCACTCCAGAACTCGTCTACCCCAACAGTTATCGGTTCTTCGGCAAATATGGCCAGCCCACTGCCACTTCAACTTACTAATCCGGTGGGCTATGTCTATAACTCTGGTTCTCTGTCGGATTACCTCATTTCTGATGCGATCCTTCAGAGAAACTCCGAGCATAGCCCTTTCCACAGCGCGCTGAGCGACTTTGAACTTGTGGACCAGCCGTACCGTCAAGTGCCCTTTGTTGCAAATTTGTGCAAAACTACATGAACCTGAAATTAGTAGACATTGACGTAAATGTGTTTCTGGAAACTGTTTTGATTTTAAGGGTTCCGTACCTCAAAAGGAAAATCTCTCTCTTATCCTTTATCGGTCATTCTCACGACTAGGTGTTCTTCGTATAACTTCTGTCACAATTTTTTATTTTCTTTAAATTATTCTTACCGACTATAAAACTTGAAAAACACGTTAAACTTTATAATGTTGAACATTTAGCACTTCTTTTAACTATTCAGTTTTGGCATAAAGCCGAAGAGACATACGTGACGAAAATTAGATACGCAGTGACGAACTTTAAAGAATTGCTGAATAAATCATGAATTTCTGTTGTGTAATATAATAAGACATACATAGAGATAATCAACATACAAATCATTGTAAGGGTGTAAACGACCAAAATAAAAACTAACAAGTAACGAAATGACAGAAAAAAAAGTCCTTGGTAATTTGATCATACAACAAATAGCTCAGTCGGCGATAATAATCAATTCATTCATTAGTATATTGAAATAGAATAAAATAGTAACAAGCAATAGTTAATAGGCATTTTCGATTTTTCTTCACGTTTGAGCGCGCCAGAATCGTGTGACGGAAATGAGGAACACGAGGTTAATTTTTAATTATAAGAAAAAATAATATAATATTATAATAAAATACAATAATACAATAATAATATTGAATCGAACACTCCGTAATGTATTCTGAACAATAATTTCAGCAGTCAAAATTCAAGAGAATTCTGTAACTCTTATATTATTCGTATTTTCGCACAACACACCAGCATACTTATTTAACAACTTATTCCTCGTTAATATCGTGGTCATTGTGGGTGCTAAGGGCGGGGTTCCACTCACCGCGCGCGACGACAGCGAGTGCGGCGAGCAGAGCGGCCGACGTGAATACTGTCATGTTGCGGTCAGACGCCTGAATGACGGTTCGCAACTGATGCGACGCGCGGCCAACACCGTTTAAATATTCGCGAATGCGTGCGCGGTGCCACTGCAAGCGGTGATCGATATCTTTTGCATATACAGACTTTATTAATTATCGCCCCTTTAACATGACTCAAAAAGTTAACATTCAAAAGCATGAAGAATAATCAATTTGGCAATTTGAGAAAAAGTTTATTATAAGATAACGTTAAGCTATAAATAGTTATCATAAAACATAACTCAATGAAATGTATCTATTAAATCAATTAGTGCCTCTATGTATAAATTCATCGAAACAATACTATAACTTTAATATAATTTTAGGCATCGTTGGTATAAATATATTTGCCAATATTGACACATTGCCTTCATAAAGCTTTTCTATTAAATAATCTATCACATAAATATTTTTATTGTTATATTATTCATTATATATATATCGTATTATATTGAGCTCTTTGAACAATCTGTGATTTGAATTTTTACATAGCTCCATGTTATATCGTATGCCTGAAAATTTGGTTCGTTCCTCAATTGATTTTCGGAACCAATAGTGATAGGTTAGAAGTCATAGTCTGTAAATAAGAATCATTATAACGTTTGATTACAGTCTGACATTATCTGGTCTTAATATGTAGATAATATTTTTCTGTCCTTTTTTTGGATAAACAACTTATCCATCATATTAACTACACTATAGCTACACTAGACTTAGTGTAGTTCGGCAAGGTATATAAAAAACCTTCGAAAACGAACGAGAGCATGTGAACTCAAATCAAAATATTTGATTTACATGTTTAATCTTAAGATACTCTTACCAGCCTGGATTCCAGAAGCTTCCGTAGATAATCCTAGTCGTAGCGCCGGGGACACTTGTATTTCGCGAAAACATTTATATATTTCGCGGACCCACGCAGAGATAGTGGTGATCTCGACGACAGTCGAATATGCGGCCGAGTTCAAGACTGAACATGTTTATTACTGGTATTTTCGTGAATAAGCGACATGCGTGATCTTTGTGTACCTGCAATTAAATAAACTGCAGAAAAGTTTCAGTATACCCAATTAATATGACGAACGTATAATTTTGAAAACAAAATAACGAGTTGCGTAATTAGTAGGAGAGTCGTTTGCGCTTTTCACACAATTTTCTGAAAGACCACCATGTTATTCAGCTAACTGATTCCTTTTTTTTATTGTTGGGAAAATGCGTTACGCATACCCCGCCCTGGGTAGGTGGCGGGGTTATGTGGGACTCCTCCTCCCCCAAATAAAGCCAAGCTGACTCGGCGGCTGTTCAGGATGAGGGGGGGCCCCACTCACTAAAAACCCAACAGTGCTCCCTCGTCTGCCGGAACGGGTTTTGTGGGATCCGGATGACGCTCCACGTTACCCCGACCGAGATTCCTCCTCCTCCTGATGGTCAGGGGGATGCCCAGGAGCACCTAGGCATCCCCCCTCGACGGGTGAGACTGTGCAATGCGAGCGACGGACTACCCTGTCCGCCACCCGCAGTCCCACTAGGGTGGAGAGAGGCGGTCGTATTGCCGCCGCCTTCTCCCCGGTCGTCGGCGACGGAGAGGGCCGGCCTGGGCGTCCTCCCCGCGGGCCCTCTCCGCTGTCTCCTTCTGTAGGATGACTTCCTCAGAGAAGGAGACGACCACGTTCCAGGATCTATCGCTGTCCAGCATCGCTTTGACGACGCTGGGCAAGGAGAGATCCCTTCCCACTGTCATGACCATGGCGCTGCCGAGACCACGACGAGCACTCCTCAAGGGTGTGCCGTGCCGTGTCCTCGACAGCGCCATAATGATGGCATGACGGGAGCTAACTGATTCCTGTCTTCTGTTATATTTATAATAACGCGGGGGCTGTCTTTTTTAGAACTAACTATGTTTAAGCTTACAACACAACCAAAACTACCAAATGTGGCGTCGTTGAATTATCGATATAAGTGATGTTAGTTACTTTAATACACCTTTTACTGTCAAAATGCACCTTTAATGATCTGAATGAAGAGATTATATTGGGTATGTGTGTTTTCATTATACTCTTGTAAACCACTAGCAAATCCTCCAATCCTTTGTGATACTCCTGGTGTTGCAAGTATCCATGGGCGACGGTGATCACTTACCATCAGGTGAGCCGTCTGTCCGTATGCCCCCTAAACATAACAAAAAATAAAAAAAACAACACAGCACATCTCACCGCTTGCACTAGACCCACACCTCGTACAACACACACTCAGAAAGTTTTGAATATTATCATGATATGTTATTAAAGATACATTTTTCAAATTCATTTGACATATTTGACAATTTGACATTTTATTTTAAATATTTCGTTACCAGATTAATTTTATTGACTACACTATTATTTAAAGGTTAGATTAGGAAGTTAAATGCGGCCATTACTACCCCTGGTCCCACCATAGTAGACCGTAGAGCAGATGTTTGTGTTATGAATACGAGAATTTTTACTCCAGTCATGGATTTTTAATATGTGTTTCTATATAAATATATAGTTATATAATTACAGATGTACTCTATCCGTTACCCTAGTATCCCATGACACAAGCCGAGTCCTTACTCTGAAGCTAGGTTAATTGGTGTAAGTGTTGGAGTAGAACTTAAAGTATAAGTCAATATTTGAACATTATTATTTCACGTGGTACGTACACCTTTATCAACAAAGATTTTATGCCTGCACTATATTTTGCTAATATATTATCCGTCAATCCGTCATGCGACATCAGAAGCGACGTAGTTACTAGTCACTATTAGCTTACTGTTCAAACTGTTTAAATAACATTCTAATCATTAAAAGTAGTTTTCGGACTTTTCTGACGGTATGGCGGATGGCGGCCAGGCGAAAATTTACCATCACGACCTAGCGAGGTAGTTAGCTAAGATAAATCGAATAATCAGATGAATAAATCGAGTTCATAATAAATTATTGACTTATACTTAAATACTGCATTACACCATTCCCTTCCGCTTATTGGTATGTATAGTCTGTCATTTCCGTTTTTTTCTAACATTATTTTACCCAATCAATGGGTAGCCAAATTAATTTGCAGAAATTTGATTCGTCAAAATATTTTGTTTTGTCATGTTAGGATTGAAGTTTAGTTTGACGAGTTTGGGACCACTTATTAGAGGCTTTTGTAAGAGAGTTATGCTTCTATATCATATATACTTCGTTGTGAAAATCACACATTTTTATAATTTGAATTTGAAATTATCTTCTTTAAAATTTAAACTTTTGAATGACACCAAAACCAGCCAGTTACAAATGGTAAAGCCTAAGAGATTTTATTACCAGTTCAAAGACTGTAAGCCTAGATTTATCTTACACCGTCATATTAGAAGGGGTTGGGTAATATCCTGCTTTGTTATAATTATATATTTCAAATTTACCTTTACTTTAATTCCATTTTTTCGTTAGCCTATAAAAAATCGCCATAATTCTCCAATTTTTGTTTTTCCTCCCATTTAACTATAGTAAAAAGAATTCTAATTATCACTGGTTATAGAGGTACCACGAAGTGGCAGAATAGGATCTACGTTTTCTACGAACAAATAATAAAAGGTAGATTGTAGGCACATATCAAACTCATTTACTGCCAGTTTTAATCATATTTACATTTTTCATGCGGTGCGAAAAGCCATACTTATGACATCGTATCTGTAATTTCAACATGTCAATTCCACGCAGTTACATTTTTATTTTAATTAAAATGTATACATTGACGGCTGAAGTTGATATAATAAACTAAAGATGATACATTAAAATTAAACAAAAATTTCAATCAATCGCAACATTTTTGACAAAAAAATCTAATTGTTTTACACTTTCACCGGAGAAATAACTGACTTAGTTCTAAGATTCAGTCCTTTCATGAATATAGGAATGTATTTCAAATTTAATTTAAATTATATTGTTTTAATTAAATTAAATTTAACCCTCACATACACATTCATTTATGTTTATCTAAGTCTTGTACACTCAGATTTTTCAAATAAATTTACAGTGCCATATTTTTTTTTATTACAACATAGTAAGACATTGGTGTCGATTCTGGCAGGGCTACTCTAAACTTAAAACTAAATTAAAAATCAGTCTGTCCTTTTCATTCTGTATAGAGATTGACATATACATATACATACATTATTATTAACTGCATACATTGTTGTCAAATTTAAATTTAGGTTTAGAGAATCATGCCATGATCGACACCATTATTTAAAATTACTTTTATTAATCCTGTCCCTGTAGCATGAGCACCACAATTTAAATTATACCACGTTTTTTATCGCGCCTAACTGTCAAACTATATAGAAATTTGACAATTATGCGTGATAAAAACGAGCTATTTATCATATCGCGGTGATCATGCTAGGCAGGCTGACATGACTCTTTTTTAAATAAGGCTAAAGATACTGATACACGGTGACACGTACTTATAAATAAATTATTAATAATGAAACTTTAATCCAGTAAAGTAACCCTATTATTATTCGCTACAATACATAATAGCGACAAAACATTTGCAGCTGTACCTACTACGCGTTTGCTTCGAGTTGGCCGCTTCCACCCTCCCACCTTCACCCCACCGCGCCCCTAGACAGACCCTATTGGTCCGCGGTACCACTTGATGTGCCTGTGATTGGCCTGAGACACGTTTTGTAACGGTCATCGACGGCCAACTCGAAGCAAACGGGTAGTAATTAACGAAAACAATCCGTAATGGACATGATGCCTGTGCACCTGACAATATGTCAGAGAGATAGTGGCAACAGCATTAACTATATTGAAAGATTCAGCAATATATAAGAAGAAAACTCTCGCCTATATTATCATTATCACAGATTCAGCAAATGCTTCGTAAGTAAACCTCTTACTTGGCTAGTCGAGGCGTATTATTTGATTCTTTTGATTTTGCAAATATACACACAGAGGCACAATTAACCGCCCACCCGGCTAAAGTGGCATAACTTTGTTTACAATAATGAAACGCTTATGTCGTTGAATGACAATTTATTAAGTGGATAGTGTATGATAAAATGTAAGAATTATTACCCTTTTTAAAGATATCCTCAAGTGTGGGTCACTTATATTGAGTTCAGTCGAATATTGATTTTCAAACTGATTGTTTTGCGCGTACATAGAATGTTATTTGTGAAGTTTTCAAATAAATTTCTTTGTTCTTAAGTTGTGACAGAGTACGGTAATTTCAAACTTTTATAAAATTTAAAAAAAAATTAAAGCAACAGCAACTGATTTTTTTCACTTATTCCATTTTAAATTATCCAATTTATTGATTGTTAAGAAATAAAACCTAATCTAAAATGTTTTTTTAGTTACACCGGAAAATGTAAGTGGGCGGTTAATTGTGCCTCTGAGTGTAATATGGATGGATTCCTCTTTCCAATTCCTTGTTAGCACACTTTCTGCCAAGGTTCCAGTTAGTGCCATATAACATTAAAAAAAAAACACAATATTAATTGAAAATTTATATCACAATATCCACAAGAGATCGGTTGAAAAGGTGAAGTAGGTATTCGCCTGTTCACAAAATGATGACTACATATGGTATCCGGAACTGAGGTTCCAACAATACTTCAAGGAGTTTTCGCTTTCTTTACTTTTGCCTTCACTTGCTGCCCGATCACCTATGACAATGACCTGTTCCAATGATTTATCTTAACATAATTCTAATCATTAATCGCGGCAGTTAAGCCATTCAGAAATAAAACCAGGGCTTCGGCACTTTTGCCATTTCTTGATTTATGATGACAAAGTTTCAACTGCATAAAATAACTCAAGAATTATTATATAAATAAAATTGTTTGCACTTAATATCTATTTGCAAAAAAACGCAATAGTTATTAATGATACAAGTGCGGTAAGTTGATTATTACAAATGATTAGACGAATGTAAGCCTGAGACGACGTCGAGGGCTTACCATAGTCATGAGTTTGTAAATACCAATTCCGAATGTCATACAACATTTTCCAACACATTTGCGAGAAAACAGTACCTATATCTACCAAACCCCTATTATGACCCATCAATCCCCCACTATCACCCGCCAATCCCTTATTATCACCCTCGAATCTCTTTTCACTCTATAATCCCCTTTTATCCTCGAATCCCCTTTACACCCCCGAATCCCTTTTCAACCTCTAATCCCCTTTTCATCCTCGAATCCCTTTTCACCCTCTAATCCCCTTTTCACCATCCAATCCCTTTGCATTCTCCAACCTCTTTTCACCCTCCAATCTCCTGTGCTCATTTACTTCAACAAATTTCTGATATGTGGATACTCCTCCTCCACTCTTACCCGCACCGCCGTTTAGATTACTTTAAGTTATCATTTCTGTGGTGCGTCCGGAGACGCACAGGTTTTTTTTTTGTATAAGTGCTTCCAAGGAGATTTGACCGATATTAAAAAAAACCCTAAAGAATACGCATGGCGCCATGTAAAGGAGCGCGCGGTAAACTGTTTTATCGCCCGCACCTTTGGATGGCTCGTAATTTTGAACATTCGAACATAGTATACAACCTCCGTAAATGCATTTTTTGGGAAGTGTATTGAAAAAATCATACGGTAAGATCAAGAGATCGATTTGCGAATGCACCACGACTATATTATAAAATTTTCCACAAAACGCTGTACAGTGATTTCAATGTCTTTAATGAAACGCCGAGTATTGGATTCATGATTCACGGTCGCACTCCGAGAAATCCATTTACTTTAAAGTTTGTCTAAAGTCGATGTTGTCACTTTAATAGGTTTGTTATAACAATTTCGATTTATAAATCCCTAAAGTTACGTCGTGCGGGGAGGGTAAGGCGCGTTTAGATTAGATACGTACGTATAGTGTCATTGTCGAATGAAAAATTTGTTGCAAACTTATATTGAGACGTTTACGATGTAGTAACCAATACTACACAAGCTTGGTACAACGCCTCTGTATGCGGTCTCTAGAGAGAATGCATCTCTGCTTTGCGATAACTATAGAATGAGACAACTCGTGACTCTAAGAAGCCTTTAAATAAATCTGATCTTGTGTCAATGTGGGCGCACGATCTTGTATAGATGATCGAAGAAGGCTTGCAGGCGTTGTTCGTAGGACGAGGCTCGCGTGGGGTACAGGCGTCTCGGGCCGTTTGCCTCCAGGTACAGCGGCGGCCGGCGTGCTGCCGTCTGCCATCGACCTGCTACCAGCGGGCCCGGCATCGGGTGACTGGGGGAATTAAACGTCACGCTTAGCTGTATTCTATAGAGGTTCTCTCATACTCTTTATTTTAGAGCGGCCATACACAGACTTCGCGAGCAGTTAGCCAGTGACCAACATACACGGACCGCTCCCGCAGTCAGAGTCAACAGCTTCGAGCAGTTTAAACCAACTGTATGTGTGTACGCAGCAGAATGTAGTTCACTATGCAGTCGAAGCTTGGAGCAGTCCATACCGACTGCATCAAGCTACCCGTATATGGCAACTCATAGTTAATCACAGCGTAGAGAGAGGCGTAACGGCGGAAAGCTTGCTGGCCTAGCAGCCAACCTAAATTATGATTTACTTTTCTTTTTATTGACTAAACTAACAAAATTAGAGGAAAATAATAATTATTAAGTTTGTAAAAATGTCGATAGTATTCGAAACGCTACTATAAGTACTATAAGTAAAAACATAGTATCATTAAAGTATAAACTAGAGTATCTATATACCTGTATCTCATGAAGTTGACGATGATGTCTGTCATCTTGTTCTTCATTTTGGCGTCGTCGTCGCGCCTCGTCAACTCGTTGGCCCTGAGCGGGCCCAGCACGGAATTCGTGCGGAATATGTACGTGAGGTCTTCAACATGACCCGCGCCTTCGAACTTCAATCCTAGCCCCTCCTTCCACGCACTGTCCACTCCGCCATAGGAGAACCTGTACATGAACACCGGCGCTTCCCCCGAAGACTTACTCGCCAACTTCAACGCTGGGTACTTATAATACTGATCCGTGCACAGTCGCAAGAAGCCTTCCAAGTCTGGCGTGTAATTGAAATATTTATTATGAATGATTTCGGCTAATACGGGAAGCTGGTCGCCGGTCATGAATCTGAGTCGAGATGATACAACGAGGTCGGGCGTTTTTTCTATCTGCGCCACTATGTCGATCTGCTCGAATCTCGGCCGGAACGATTCGCATTCCGCGTCTGTGAACCCTATCAACAGAGGAATGTCACTCCCTCGTCCGCTGTCAAGTAGAACCTCGGGGTCGTCTTCTAATATCGGAGTAATCCCAGGTTGATAAGACTCCACGACGGGTGTGAATGTTGTCAGTCCGAACAAATTGATGAGCTTTTTGTTCGCTTCCATGATCGCGTTGATAGGGGTCTCGATGAGTTTCTGATGGATTTCGTCGGCGGGAAGAGAGGCGTGAATTCCTAGTAGCGGCAAAAAGAAGCTGTTTATTGTCTTAGCGAACAGCGGTGAGGAGCTGAAGAAGTCGGAGAAAGCTGTACCGCTTAGTAGTATTGCCCTGGAAATTATGAAAATATACATTACATTTATTTTTGTTAGACTTTGTATAAAACAGGGACATAGGCAAAAATACAACATTATTCAAAATGGAACTGAATATTGTGTACAAGCCCTGCTGTCGACAAGGATATTTAATCTCATGGCTGCATTTCCTCGATTGTTGCAGAATAGTATTAAGAAGACAACTCCATAATTCAGGCTACAGACACAGAATTGAAATCAAAGCATTCGCATACCTTTTTGTCATTCACATCGTTTCCAGGGTTCCATCAGGACAGGGGATGGGGCCAAATCAGGCAACGATGCAAGTGTTAAGTGTTACGATATCAACGTAAGCATCTGTACTGTTGGCTATGGTGGCCGCTTATTGGCAGGCGGGCCATCTACTTTTTGCCACTTGTGACTTACCTGTGGAACAGCGAGCGCGCGCTGGTAGAGAGTGTCAGGATGTGCGTCATGGCCGCGCCGGCGCTCTGTCCCGCCAGCGTGACGGAGCCGGGCGAGCCCCCGAAGAAGCGCGCGTTACGCTGCACCCACCGCAGCAGCGTCACGGCGTCCCGCAGGCCCGCGTTACCTGGCACCTGCGTGCTGTTCAGTGACAGGAAACCGAACACATTCAACCTGGAAACCAACAATACAACGTACAGAAGACTGCTGACAAAAAGATACTGTCATGTAATGGTGGAGGGGAACTGGTGACACGCACTAGTAACAAACGTTTATAGCCTGTGATGCGCTTGCCATCAGACTGGTCACATAATGCGTATTGAGCACCCTTTTCAAGGAAAATTAGAAAAAATGGTATAAGTATAAGCAGTACTTATTGCAGTAGGTTCCTGCAATTATGCGGTGGGTAGCGTAACTATTTCAACGACAAAATAAACCTGAATATGACAAATGTGGTGATTCTTGTGTGATAATGAAAACCTCGCTAATGACAAATGAGAAGCTATACGTAAACAGTCCATCCCTAAAGTTAGTCTATGTGCTGGTCTACTAATTTACTGTCTGCTGCACTTATCTGGAGCAGTTACGATTTGCAGTTTATAGATTATGCTAAAGAAAAATTACCTATAGTTAAAGGTGATAACAATAACGCCTTTGCTGACGAGGTACTCGGGGCCATGAAGGTCCGTATCGCCAGAGCCGAATGCGAAGCCTCCGCCATGAATGAACACGAGGATCGGTAGACCCGGGGCTGTTTCTACATCCAAGCTGGGGGGCTCGTTGGGGTCGGGCAACGCTTCGATGGGCACGTGGATGTTGGCGTGGATGCACGCCTCGCTCCTGCCGCCGCTAGCCGTCTTCATCCTCCCGTAGAACACGTCCGTTTGAGGACACACGGGACCTTCGGCCTTTGCTTCCCTGATGTCGTCCCACGGCTCTGCTGGGAGAAGCTCCTGAAATTTTTAAATCATTCGTGGATATCACAATTTCTCTATTTTACTTTTTGAGATGCCTCTAATGTTCCTTGACATTGTTGTGTATTAGATTTGGAGGTATAAAGTTTTGTGAACCGTAGACTGTGGCCTATCTGCAGCTGGACAACAATTTTGACCCAGCCGGTGCCAGATGTGGAAACATCTTCCGTATATCGAGTTGCAGGATATTTTTGTGTTTATGACTTGCTGAAAATATTGAGACATGACATCTGTTTCTTGGGACAGCTTGTTTCATCCTTATTTAATAAATTTACTATTTTTGAATTTTATACAATAAGCGGGATTTAGGAATCATAAATTTTTGGCAGATAAGAATTAGACGTTTTACAATTCTAGTTATTTTAACTACCATTGTAGGGTGATATAATATTTGTAATGTGGTAAGTACAAATATTGGAACCGCCAAACTTCTTGAGAAAAAAATGTGTGTGTCAGCTCCTACGCACGACTTGAGTTTACTCCTTAAGTTCGATAGTCTAACCACACGCAAAAAGAGTTTATTTAACTTAAAAAAGATTGATACTGTATGAAAGGGTAAATTAACAAATTAATGAAAATAATCTACATATATAAATATATATTAATTCATTTCATATACATTTATTATAACTAATCGACGAAATATTTTACATTAAACTTTTTTAACAATAGTCGATTTCAGATGTGCATAAATATATCATTAGGAATGTTGATAAATTATGTAATGTTTTTATTTGGTTTGTTACCTTAAGTCATGGTGGGCGATAACAGAGTCATGTTGTTTAGTTAAATATTTGTAAGGACAAATCTCAGTTTGTCTTTGGTGGGCGATTATGTATACGCCATTTGTGCATTTAAAATTTTAGTTCATATGTATCAAAATAGATGGCGCTGTAGTTCGTTGCATCACGCTTGTAAATATGTTTGGAGCTACATATAGGCAAAACATCACCTAAATACTAAAGAAATATATGGTCTAACAAAATACCCTGTAGTTTCATTTTAATTCTTTTGCACCTAAGCTCTCGGATTTAAGAGTCATTTTGGCTCGAACAGGATACGCACTAAAAACGTAACGAGGTCATTCATCGATAGACTTTACTCCTTACATTTTTCTCATACCGGGCCCCTTATATATGCAAATCGATTCTTAAGGAGTAAACAAACTCCAAAAAAATAGTTAACTAAATTTGCGCATTAGACGTTGTTGTATGTAAAATTGCTACTACGCAGGTTCCCTTGTCTATGTTTATTGCTTAAGAAGTTTGCCGGGATGTATACCTGAAACCTGAGCTCTCCCAGGGGTTGTTTAGCGTAGGGCACGGCGAGGAAGCTCGCGTATACTGAGCCGGAGACGGCGCGCCGCCGGGCGCCGCACACCCATCCCGTTTCCGTCCGCGCCGCCGCCTCGCACCTCGACAGGTCCGGCGCGCTTAGAGTATGCGCTGGAAAATGTATAATATACATGTTTAGTATACCGTAGTTAGTTCGCTAAATTTCGTAAATATAGTTATTTATTATGCTGTGAATAATATTAATATAATATCTCGAAAAAAGTGACATTAGCATTAATGTAATAACTAATAAAGTAATTGACATATCAGAGTCGTTAAATTGGTCATCTCGTCAATCTCGCGTGATTGGTGACTTTAATCTTTAGTCATTTTTTTTAATTATATATGTACAGAAAATCGATAATATTTAAATACAAACTTCTTTAACCTACTTTTATAAATAACATCTTATTTAATCTTTTATTTATGGTTTTATTTTCGTAACAAAATAGTAAGTGCCAAGGAATGACACATTGCCACGAAGAAAATGTAGGAGCTTGAATAGTATACATGGACGTACAATGCAAACAAGACTGAGTGCTAGTAAAAACAATGTTTTCTTTTCTCATTTTACGTTTTTTGAATTCGCTAATTACTTTTGTTGTTTTAATGAGGTATTATTAAATGGAGGTCCTAATGTAATGATATTGATGAATCGGTTCTGAATCATTCAGTTCACGAGCAAGTTGTTGTAATATTAATTAACTTATTATTTGCAATTTTACTTGCGGTATGACTCTGAGGTTCTTACAGGCGGAGAGGGATGGAATTATGAATGAATCGACAGTCGACCGGTCGACATGATTTTAATTCAGTAAGTAAATTGTTATTTGCAAAAAATAATCGGTTGAATGTTTGGTGTGGATTATGGATCTCTTTGAATGATTTGATGGAAATTAATTATTTATTGTTACTCAAATATTTTTCCTATGGCACGTTTTTTAAACCCCAAGAACCATCGGGAACACGGTTTTTTCAAACCCAAATAATTTTGTATATTGGATATTTCGCTTATGCCTATTACTAAAGAAATTTGTGTAACAATGATGACTTTATTTGTTTCTTAGGTTTTCACGCACATCACTTTCGTTTTGCAGCCTTTTCAGGTCTGACGATGCAGACCTGAAAAGGCTGCGAAACGTCATAAATAAATAAAGTTTCGTGCATTAACCCGTAAAAACTAGTTTTATTTAATGATGACTTTGTCTAATTTTTATTGATCAGCCAGCGGTAGTGCTAGGAATTATCAGAAAGAAAGAAAAATTTTTTTTCTTAACACAGGTCATCCATCGTCATCATCATCATCTCAACCGTACGACGCCCACTGCTGATAGGCCTCCCCCAAAGATCTCCACATCGATCGGTCGTGTGCTACGCGCGCGCATCAATCGACATCCCGCGATCTTCACCAGATCATCGGTCTACCTGGCGGGGGGCCCTCCCACCGAACGTGGTCCGGTGCGTGCTCGTCATTCGAGAACCTTTCCGCCCCAACGGCCATCGGTTCTCCTCGCTATGTGTCCCGCCCACTGCCACTTCAGCTTAGCAATACTTCGAGCGATGTCGGTTACATAAGTTCTGCTGCGGTTTTCCTCATTTCTGATTCTATCACGCAGGAAGATAACAAACATCGCTCTCTCAATAGTGTTGATGACGGGGTACAGTAAACGAAATTCTATTTAGTTCGTCAGTTAGATGATCAAAAAATAATGGACACTTATTTTTTCTTTGGGCAATCAACCAAAAAATGACAAAGTTATAGCGCGTCAAAGTTTGGGAGTAGGTGCTCGTGACGTCACTTTTTAGTGAATTTTCACTTAAAAGTGTACTCAAACGTGACGTAATGCGACTTTTCAAATGAATATATCTCTACAATGTTTATATTATGTGAAAAAAGAAAAAATACGTGTCTTAACACTTTGATAATCTACCTGATAAACGAAGAAAAAAAAATTAGTCATCATCCCTATTGGCCGCTGTGCGACCTTGAGTCTTCTTATGAGACCCATAGTAAGAGACCACGTTTCACTTCCGTAAGTCATCACTGGCAACACACACTGGTGATAACTTTTGTCTTGAGACACTGAGGTAATTTGGACGCAAAGATTTTACGTAACTTCCCGAACGCTGGCCATCAATCATGTTAAAATTTTAATGAATTTGCTATAAATATTTTTTTTCAGAGAAAAATTGCAAATTAGAACCTTTGTTTTATTATTTGCATTTTTTTTCTGTTTTTGGACACTGTAAAAGTCAACATGTACTTACACCGATTAGAAATGAAAATTCATTCCTCATCCTTCCAATCTTGGCCTCGCATACAAGGACCCGCCACATTTCGTGTGAAACGGGTATTTATTATTTATTTACTTTTTAATACCATTCCCGATTTTAAAGTCGTTTTTTTTATTATTTACACAGCAGGAATTTTACTAACCATTCTTTATGGAGTACATAAACTCGAGTAAACGTAAGATCGTCTTCAAAAAATTGTCAAATACCCTATTCCCAATTGGAACATTAGAACATATATTAGAAAAAGTTAAAATCCCTTGTTTTCCAGTCCTGTTTGTATAGTACGTCCACGATTGTATATAATAATAGTTAAATTTTCTTCAAGCGTTAGACATATAAACTACAGATAACAACTCTCGCGTTCACGCCCAAACAACGCCAATTTTTTGCCTAAGTCGCATCGCATACGCAGACGCAATTCCAGACGAATGACAATTAATACTTTACGGTTTACATAGTGGCGTGTGCTAACTAGGGTTGCCAGATGCTGGCTTATCAATAGGGATGATGACTAATTTTTTTTTCTTCGTTTATCAGGTAGATTATCAAAAAGTATTGGACACGTATTTTTTCTTTTTTCACATAAGTAATATAAACATTGCAGAGATATATTGATTTGAAAAGTCGCATGACGTCACGTTTGAGTACACTTATAAGTGAAAATTCACTCAAAAGTGACGTCACGAGCCCCTACTCCCAAACTGACGCGCTATAACTTTGTCATTTTTTGGTTGATTACCCAAAGAAAAAATACATGTCCATTATTTTTTGATCATCTTACTGACGGACTAAATAGAATTTCGTTTACTGTACCCCGTCATCATCCCTATTCCGGGACATTTGCAACCCCCCCCCCCCCTGAAACAATTAAGCATCAAATCCAACCCCCCATCACCCCCTACATTTAATTCTGGGGGTGATCTAAATCTGAATGACATCAAGCAGGCCAGCGGTGTCATTCCTTATTAGTTTATTTTGTTTCGAAATTAGCATATTATCGGAATCCGGGACATTAAGGTCTAATTACTGGACACGGGATGAGACGCTAAATTCCGGGACAATCCCGGATTTCCCGGCCATCTGGCAACCCTAGTGCCAACTGAGAAGTGCAACACGACGCGTCTGGATATTTATGTCATCGGTCATAAATTGAATATAAATATTTGCCTCGTGTTGCTCGTCACTGCCAGTGACGAAGGCTTTAATATATATATTAGGTTGAGGAAAAAGTTTCTTCGCTTTTTTTATGAAAATTTAATACATTTTTTATAAAGTTTATTTACATTTGACGACCGCCGTGGCCGAGTGGTTTGTACGCCGGGTTTCATGGTGTCACCGACTCGAGAGGTCCCGGGTTCGAATCCCGGTGGGGGCAGATATTTGTGTGATGAATACGAGCATTTGTACTCCAGTCATGGATGTTTAATGTGTATTTCTATATAAATATACTTATATATGTATAGTATATGTATTCTATCCGTTACCCTAGCATCCCATAACACAAGCCTTACAGTGCTTACTTTGGGGCTAGGCTAATTGGTGTGAGGGTTGGAAATATTTATTTATTTATTAAGTTACAATATGAAGGTTCCATTTTGTTCGATAACTTTTTACCATTTTGTAGGTAGTGGTAGTTTGTGACTTTTAATCAAAAAACTGCGACGTGGTTTTGGCAGTCCTCTCGTGATGTTAACCTGACACTGCCTAAATTTTGAAGAGACCGAAACAGGTGGAAATCTGAAGGTGCAAGGTCCAGGACTATACGGCGGATACATTAATATCTCCCAGTCAAATTCGTTTAATTTTTGCTGAGTGGCTAAAGATATTTGATGTCTAGCTTTATCATGATGTAAAACCACACCTCTTCTGTTGATTAATTCCGGCCGCTTTCTCTCAACTTCTTGCTTAAACCTTATCAGGTGTTCGCAGGAGGGGTTCAGAACCGATGGTCCTGCCTGGCGGTAACAGCTCATAATGAATAATGTCCTTCCAATCCCACCATACTCACTGCATCAACTTGTTGCGAGTTGACCCGGGTTTCGTCAGAGTCTGTGAAGCCTGACTGGCCTTTGACGACGACCTTTTTCGCACGTTCTTGTCGTACGTGATCCATCAATTATCACCAGTTACCAGTTTCTTCAAAATTGTTTCGGTTTTATAACGTCGTAATAAAGAATCAAAAATGAGTACACGGTTCATTAGGTTTCTTTCAGTGAACTCGTGAGGCACCCAAATATCGAACTTTTTTGTGTTTGGGGGAGGGGTGCAAATCGTCCAGATTTCAAAATACGCCCAAGATTCCAAGATTTTTTTGCCAAGATTCCAGGCACACCAGCCACCATGCCGGCCTTGATATGAATGGAAGAGGTCAGGGAGAGGATTTGCACAACCACGACAAATGTGGATGTGGATGCATTGTCGCTAGTGATTGCGTAACGTACATTCTGTCAGTTCGTTCGACTCAATATTGTAGTTGCGATGAGGCCACCCGCTAGTTTATGGTGTCGCTGGTGCAAAAATGGAGCAACATAAAACAATGTATTATATCTGTTCAGTAGATGGTTTCTTAAATTCAAAATTTTCAATTCGCATTTAAACAAAAATTGAAATATTGTTGAGCATAAGCCAAAGTTGACAATCCTCAATCCTTCGTAGGTATGCAAAGTAAAATATGATCTTTATACATGAGATTATCTTCTGTTATGTCTATTTTGTGCTAAAAGTTATATTTTACTCAACTACGACGGGAATTCTTATTTGGTTGGCTATTGGTCGCAGACTTCTATAACGTCACTCACTGTCTCACTCAGTCGGGT